GAGATAGGCTGAGCCTGTCTGTTATGGCTGGGGACAGAAAGATACATCATAGCTAGGACAGCCTGAAGAGACACGGCAGTCAAAGCTTGAATTACTGTATGTAGGCGACCATGCACACATATCCACAAGCATACACTTGGAAAGTCACCTAGGTACTCAAGCACCCAAATGCTCTCAAGTCTTAAACCAGGATTAATTTTTCTGCAGCCAGCAGGAAGATTCTTTGCTCTAGCAAAAGGGGCACAAGGCAGACAATATGAATAATGGACATTATCCACTTACAGCAGCTGACAGAGGCCAAAACTTCCCACCCACATTCTACCACTGCTCTTTACTCCAGAACACAGAACTGGAAGAAAACTAGGCATGCTTGTTACACACCATTCTCAGAAAATTAGCCATCACTAAAGCACAATGCAAATATCCTACCCAAAACTGAACATGGCGAGTTTGGAGGTTTCATTCTAGAACGGACAAAATAGGAGGTTGATTCCACAAGCAGGCAAAGGGGAACCCTCTAGAACAGTGGTGGGAAGCAAGTAGTACAAAGACAATTCCTTTGGCCATAAGCTTACCTGAGTTATTTCTTTCATCTATGTATCTGAGGTCATCAGCTGCATCAGGTGACTGGAAGAAAACAGAAGACATAAGCATCCACCTCTGTAACACCAGTGCCAGGTAATTTCCCACCTCCAGCCTTCCAACACACTACAGAGAACCTTCTGCCCTCAAAGGTGCTGGTAATGCAGCAGCCGGGGCACGCTCAGTGAACACACGCGATTACAACATTAATCCTTTGTGCTGAAGTCAAGCAGCCCCTGGCCTCAATTGCAGGATGAGGTGTGTGTTTGCCCTTTTACTTTGTGTGTGTAGGGAGGAGAGCAGAGGAAGTGACATAAAAGGCAGAAAGCATAAAGACTATAGAAAATGAGCAGAAACGTGGGAGGAGAGCAAAGACATGAGCTACATTTTCTTGAGTGCTAGATCCCAATTCTGCATCTGCACTGTTCCCAGGCATAGCTTCTTACACAAAATCAACTTTCTTCTTTATATTTAGGTGTGTACAGAGAACTGATGTGGGATAGGAAGCAGTTACATCCCAAGAGATGGCAGAGACAGCTTTGGACAAATGGCTAAGCGATAATCATGAAACTCCATCAGTTCCTCCTAATTTTAAAGCTTTCACAAAATGAAGACCATTACTACAACCAGTGCTGTCTGTAACTCATCAGACCAGAGTGACAACACCATGAGAAAACAACTTTGCTCATGGTCATGCACTTGATGTGACTTGAAAATCAGCACTACTCTGGGGACAGGCATAAACGTCTCGAGCCCTCCTTATTCTGCTGAAATAGAGAATTTAATCTAGCTATACATAATGCTTCAAAGATAGAAAGGTCAAAGTATTCTGTTGAGATATTCTGTTTACTTCAAAAGTGGCTGCATTTGTTGCCTCTACTGTTCTTTCTGGGTTTGTACACAATATTGACACGGAGCTCAACACTTCTCTGAGCTATACAAATGTTAAGGACAGGGTTTCAGAAGAGCTCAGTATTCAGCAAGCCAAACTTGTCGGAAAGCTCTTGCCACTACTGATCAAAATCTATCTTTTAGAAGTCTTCTTGCTCGGCTCAAGAGCACAAGTGAGGAGTAGGTTAATTTTTCTTCAATTGCAGGATAAAGGATGGCTGCTCTATACACTTATATGGAACGCCTTAGGGAAGTTTCACAGCTGCAAGAGTGCAAGAAGCCCTACTTTCCATATAAACTTGCCTATTTTGTGCAAGCAGCAAAACTGGATGAGACAGGAAAGAGGGGGAGATATCTCATCCCATTTAGTGCTTTAGAAATAAAGCAAACGTGTGGTAGAAGTCCTGCTCTTCACAAACAGCAGAAAGCAGAGCACAGGGGGCTGTGATGACTCTGGCATGCATCGCTGAGGAACACAGCCCAGCCAAATAGCACTGCACTGATCCAAAGTGAGTGACATAGTTGTGTGACTACGGTCAGGAAGAAACAGTGTCTCTTAATTACTGCACTGCTGAGAGAGGTCCAGAGGAACCGCTTGATGATTTGGAGGTGTAGCCTCCTTTGGAAGCACCTTCTCAGCTGCAGGAAGACTCAGTGCTGCACTGTGGCCTCAGCAGAGGCTTGGGGAAGCTCAGGTAGTCCAGAGCTGTCACTGGGGCTTGAGCGGCCAGCCCTCTAACTTGCTTGGTACAGAACCTGGACAGGTGCACACCCCAAAAGGGAAGGGATTCTTAGAGAAAAGGATGAGCGACTACCAAGGGCCGAGCAATACCACCAATGAAACGAGTCAGCCAAGAATATGCATCAAATAAAGCAGAACTGCCTGAGAAGCCACAAACTGCAACTCCGCTGAAGTCAGCCTGGCTTTGGGGATGACACCTTGGACCTGGAATCTGCGTCATGGCAGCAAGTTAAAGCCCAACATGTCAGTACTTGCTATCTCTCCACACACAACACAAACATAACTGTAGGTATCTGCTCTACTGTCTTTACATAGAACTAAAAAAACCCAAACCAAAACCCCTAGGAAAAAAAAAAGAAATTACAGACATAGAGTATCTGCTCAAATCAGCTGTCACAGATGCCGTTGGTTAATGACTAATCCATTGGTTAATGACTAATCCAGGCAATAAGAGAAAGGCAATTCACAGTACTGGGCAACTGGTTCTGGGTGGCCCTGCTTAAGCAGGAGGGTTGGACAAAATGATCTCCAGAAGTCCTTTCCAACTTCAACCATTCTGTGACAAAGCAGCTTAAATGAAATGAAGTTCTTTTAGGAAGGAGAACCTTGCCATGGTGCTCACCCTTGAAACTTGGTGTTCTTTTACCATGGGATGACTTCACAATTCATCTACACCAGAGTTACAACATATGAGAATTGTGACCACAGCTGTCTCTTGGGCAGGATGCTGAACATATTCCAGTTTGAAGTTAACATTTGCTCTAATTTGCAGTTTGTTGGCAATAATTTATATAGTTTTTCCTTCCCTTTTAGTTCTTATCTTTCACTTAAAAATATTTCAGGATCAATTAAGGTGAAGATGTAGCTGCTTTATATTTGCAAGCTTTTGTTGTTAGTTTTAAAACTATCTGGACCAACTTTTTCATAATTCCACTTGATTGAAGTCTCCAGTAAACCCTCAGTTATACAGCATGGCCTGTTGTCATTGTTCCACAGGAACAGGGCCTTTGAAGAGGTCTTCCTCAAATCATTCAACGTCTGCTCTGAAGGTCATCACTTCACGTGCAGGCACTTCCACCAAATCAAGCCCCAACCAATCCAATAGATGGTTCAGCATGCAATTTATACCTGGATTTCGTAAACAGGTTTGGAGGAAGGAATAGCAGCAAATTCCCGGTAGTCAAACTTCTTTTCAGACATGGACTAGAGGGGACAGCAAAAGAGGAGAAACAGAGAAGAGAGAGTAAGGGGAGAGAAACGGATGGAAAACCGGCAGCCAGCTGAGCAATCTATGCAGAGACAAAAGCAGAAGCAGAGCGTCATTCTCAGTGAGTGCCAAGAGCGCCTGGATACAGCGTCTGAAAATGAGGCATCACTGGGACATTGCCTTTTTAGCTGTTCTGGTGTCAGGAAAGGGGTTCCAAGTTGCAGAGAAAACATTATGTGCTCCAGTAAAGTGCACATGCACACCAAGTTTGGTAGGAAACCTATTTTCGTGGGAAGATTCCTGACGGCTGTAGCACAGTCAGGATTTCAATCCAGAGTTGGCTGTGCTGCGTGACCTTGGGCGAAACCAGGTCCCCCCTCTGTGCAGCTGCTCCCAGTCTTCTGTTTGTCCGTCTTACTAATTTTGTTCTCTGCAACAATATCCTGTTGCATTTATACAGCGCTTAGGAAAAGGAAAATGCTGATTTCGGGTGAAGTTCTCAGTTTTATGCTGTTGAAGAAGCAAGGGGCCAAAGTCTCTAAAGTGAAAGGCTTTCTGAACATGGAGATGAAGAACCAAGAAAAGGAGGAAATAATAAAACAGGGAAGCAGAAAACAGATGTTACAGCATAGTTGCAAAAAAAAAGGGGGGATGCCTGTAGCCATGGTATGGCAGAGCTCCATCCACTGTGCCCTCTCCACAATTCTGTATATCATGCAGGCAGACCTGGCTTAAGTATTTCAGTAGAGATCCCATGGCCCAGATGCACAGTCCACACCCAAGCTGAGTAACTGAGAAATCCCAGGCTTACAGGTGGGATAACAAAAGCAAGCAGAATTATGTCATACCAGCCTTCCCGGCGAAGTGATGTTTCTGGGACTGCAATCTGCAAAAGATGACAGAAAAGCACTGTTTAGTGAATGGCCGTATTACCTGCAACACTTCCTCAAATCGGCCCCTTCCGTTTGGCAGCATTTAAGTGTGATAAAAGACTACACTCAGCCTTCTCAGAACAAATGCCTTTCCTGTTTCTCACAAAGTCATGATGCTGGTTTTATTTCTGGTCTGGTTCCCTGGAACCGTACCTCAGATGTTCTCTCATGTTTTCTATAGATCAGGCCCATCCCCTATGCTAAGAGATGTCACATGCCCCGAAGGACCTTCCCATCTAGGCTGAAGGAGGAAATTGCTTTCAGTAGGTCTGTCTTCAAGCCAGTTAAGCTAGGGAAGCATTAACTTTTTTTCCTCAGAGACAGAGACAGCTATACAGTACCTTCCAGTGGTGTTGGTGATGGGGTAGGAACAGGTGAAGGTGACTCTGCCAGCTGCTCCAGTGTGCTGCGTTTTTTCCCCTCCTTGGACTTGGCAATAACCATTTGGGCTTTAAGAGCATCCTGTTCAAGTGATTTCATCCTGCCTCAGAAAGGAGGGAGGGAGAAAAGGACATCAGGCATTGCCTTCTCAACAGGAGATAATGCTGCCTTCTGCACTCAGCAGCCAGACCACAGTCAACAGGCTGAGTGCACAAAGGCAAAATTAAGCACCCTTGGTTCCCTGAGGCAGACAGACTTTCATAGCAGGAAAGGAGAACAGCTTGGTTTGCTGTCATCCTGAAACACACATGCCATCACATGTGTTGATCACATCACAGCACCTAGAGCTAAGCAGGGCTTCCAGAGGTGCCATCTAAGATGGGAGAGCAACCCAGGCTGGGAACAGAACTGCAGGGGCTCAGATGAGTAGGACTGGTTCTCAGGGCTTTACTGTCCTCCATGCTCTCAGTGTGTTGCATCTCAACCCTCTTCAGCCATCACAAGATTACGAAGTAACTAAGAAAAAGTGGGCTCAGGCCTCAGAAATGCCTGCTCTTGTCTCCCAAACAAACAGACCCAGAATCCCCCCTCATTCTTATTGAGACAACTGCCAGTAGTCTGTGGGACCTCAGGGAAATGAACACCAGCAACCACTAAAATTTCTTCCCTGCCCCTAGCAGGCCACAGCTGGGAGCACTGCATCAGGATGTAGGGATACAGACAGGACTGTTGAGCATGCAGCTGGCAGGGAGGGGGCTGTGCACACCTGGATTGGCTTCCTGACCCAGGGATTCTTGAGGCGTGACTCTGCATTGGACTAGACATCTGAGCTGGCCTGGCCCGGGGAGCAGGTGCCCACTGTCGGGACTGGTACAGCTTCCTGGCCAGATCCTGCTCGTACTGTTTAATACTGTCTTCAAGAGCTGAGGATCTGAGGAGGAGGAGGAGGAAGAGGAGGAAGAAGAGGAAGAGGAAATGATGGTGATGAACATCGCAGCGGACAAGCGCAGGGAAAGAAAGAAACAGATACAGGAACATACCCTGGCAAGGAGAAATATGGGTCTGGTATAGTGGTAGCCTTGATTAAAACAGGCTCCTATATCTGATCCTATTCAACACCAACTTCTGCAGAAGAAGCAGGAACCTCTGGAGGGCAATCTGGGATGATGTGCCCAGAAACAGTAGCCTTCTGAGCCTCAGCATCTAGAGACTGCCCTCCTCATGGCTCGGAGGAGAGCACTAGAACCACTCAGGAGACCAACAGACAAGGCCCAGGAGGTAGTTACAAAGAAGTGTGTCTGTGTGTGTGTGCATGAAGCAGACTGAGGGAGTACAGGGCACGACTGAGTGTGTGTGCACACATTTGATAGTCTCTTAGTGTACATTTGCATACATGTATCTGACCACCTTTTAGCAGGCACCTTTGTTTGACCATGAGAAAAGGGGAAGCATAATGGACAAGCACATTACGAAAGCTCTGTTTGCCCCAGGCCCTGGAACACATGCGACTGAAGAGGTGAGTGCATCTGTAAAATAGCATGTGCGTGGTAGGAAAACTGCCAAGCTGCACGTAGCCCTTGCTGGGCACCTGCCCCCTCAGTGTCTGTACCTTCTTAATCACACTCTTCCTACGGCACGAATGCCAGCAGCTGTGTGTGCCTGTAATACTTGTGTAGCACGGGTCCCAGTGTGTTTGTCCCAACAGAGCACAGGGGTGCGTGCTGGGGGTGGGGGTGGGGGCACATCACATGTCCTGGCAGAGCACTGATGACACAGGGAGAAAAAGGAAAGCCCAAGAAGGTGCAAACTGATGGGGTCACAAGAGACAGCACACAGACCAGAGAACTGGAAAGAAGCAGAAGATAGAAGATTAGAAAGAAGGTAATAAAATCAGTGGCATGCACTTAAAGAAAACCCAGGTTAGTGAGGCTGCAGTACCATGTGCAGGGCTACACAGTCCTCCCACACAGCACATGTAGCGCTGCCTGGGTGCCTCTCGAAATAAGACCTGAGCCCTGGCTGCCATCGTGTCACCGTGCCTGCTCTAGCAGTTATAGAAGAGGGATCCTAAGAAGACCAGATCATCCTGGGAGATCTGTGGTAACATGGAGCAGATCATCCTTGTCTTACAAATAGGAGCACATTACGGTGACTGATTGCTGCCAGTGCCAAAATTAGCAAGGCCTTAACCCTATCCAAGGAATCAGCCAGGCATTCGCCAAGAACTGAATAAAAAGCTACACCTTGGTATCAGAAGCGAAGTGGAGCTGAGGACCTGGTCTGCAGAACTTAAAAACAGTAACACTCAATCTGATAACTGAAAAGCAAGACAGCTGCAAGTAGCTGCTTCTTGTCAGGCATTCTTGTCTCTAAAAGGCTCTCCCTTCACTAGTTCATTCTCCATGAACAAAACATGCTTAGAAAAGGTTGAAGGTTTGGAATGCCGGGATCTCTCTCCTGCCTGTAGTGGACAAAACGACTATTCTCAGCGTCCACTAACCCTTCTACGGTGTAGCGTAGAACTTTTACCACACCCCAACAAAATCCTGGCTAAACCAGAAGCATAGTCAGATGTACAGTAATGTTACAGGAGCAAATCGTGTGATCACCTAAAAAAACGCTGCCCCCCACCCCATCATTTTTCAGATTTCTTTAGCTGCTGGCAACAGCAATGAGTGCATGGACACAGAGTCCTGAGGCAAGCAGTGTACGTTCTGTGACACGAGCAATGTCCTTGCAATGGCTTTGCTTTCAAAGTCTGCGCAGGCAATGTCATGTTTCTTCTTTCTACACCCATCTTTTATTATGGAATTCCTTGGATATTTTAATGCTTAGGCTTAGGAGGAATCAAAGCTGACATTACCTCATAAAGCCTGCCTCATTGTATGAGGAAATACGCATGGGAAGTGGAGGCACGAGCGAAAGAAAATCCTGCATATCTAATTGGGAAGGGACGACAGATCAGTCTCCACCGCCTCTCCAAGCACAGTGATGCTGATTTTCAGGAGGAGAAGCCTGACAGACAACCTCTGTTTTGTTGGATCAAGTACAACAGTGGAGCTTTTTCTTTTAGGTGCAAAGACTGAGCAGCAACTCTGTGCAAGATGTCTACTCCTGGCAACGCTGTGGTGCTTACACAGCAACATACTGACAGCCAGTTTTTAATGTATTCAACGCTCATAGCCTTCCTGTGAGACAGAGCAGTGCTATTGCAGTCCTCTCTCCGTGCGTCTGCAGCACAGAGGGACCTGGTGATCTGTCCTACGTCATAAGCAAGTGAGCCAGCCTCTTCTGAGCCATGGTTTGTAAGCACACGTTTGGCTCCGCAACATCTACGCAACTTCTAGCCCTAGAACACAAGGGCGACGCGTCTGTTTTGGCAGGCATTGTTTACAAATTCTCTTGCACTGATATTTTTGTAAAAAGGTTGCTTCTGGCTTAATGTGAAAATACAGAACTTCCGTTTGCAAATGATGCCACGTGAAAAATTGTAACACAGAAACTATGGGAACAGCATCAGCTAGAAGAGGCATGTGAGATGCCAAATACAGCAGAAGATTCGGTGAATCAGAGCAGCAGACAAAATCCCACAGTATTTGGAGCATGAAACAATAGCACAGGGCAGAAACAATCCTGCCAGAGCACACCCTGTTGACATCCCGACTCATCGCTGTGCCTGTGCGCAGGCATCCACGCCGGGGAAGGAGAGATTACCAGGTGTAGACTCACAGAGTAATTCAGGTTGGAGGGGACCTCTGGAGGTCATCTGATCCAAAAGCTGCTCAAAGCAAGGCCAGCTTCGAAGGTCTAACAAACATGCTCCAAGATGACAGAGATCAGTGTCTTCTAAGTCAAGGTTCCATACAACAAACAGGCTTTCCAGTGATTTGTTCAGCTTTCTGAGGTTACAGGGCAGCGCAGCGAAACTAAAGCAGTGCTTCAGAGATTTCCAGCCGAGACAGACCAGGCAAAGGACTCATCCAAGACAAAGAGCTGGAGCATACCAAGAAAGTTTTCTTGAAGGGCAAAAGCCCTGGTACTAGGAACATTAGTCCAGCTCTAAATAAACCATAAGCAGATCTGTTACGTGATCAAGTAACAATGGGAAGCTTTGTACCCTCAAAGCCCTCGATAATTAGCCAGCTCTCATTGAGGATTCCACTACATATTTCTTCATCCTCAGACCCTCCCCAGAAGACAACAGTGGCATTATCATTCACGTCTAAGCACAAACACTGGAATTGCCAAATGGTATCACAACTCATGGTAATCCCTCCAGCGTCCTATCTAGCAGGCTGGCAAGGATGAGTCACTAGCAGCCCTTTTCCTCTAAAAGCTCTCATTCAAACCCCAAAAGAGACCGTTTCAGATTGTCCTTTGAAGGCCTTCTACAGGAACATCGTGGGAAGAAAACTATCATTAATTACAGGAGCAGCTTGACTAATTTTTGAAAGGAATTACATGATCCAGTAAATGCCTGGACCTGCTTCAAGTTTTAAGTTCTGAGGTAGGAAGTTCTCTTTTTTCCAGAACAATTTTTAATCACTCTTTCATAGCTGATGGAACAGCTTGTGTGGATAAGAATGCCCTTGTCTTGCTAATTTCTTGGCTTCAGCAAGTTTTCCAGTCTAGCAACACTGGGTGTGTCAAATGCTCTTTCCATTTTTCGTTTTGAATATGTCACCATGCAGCTTCAATAAAGATCATCTTTTTCATGTGTTACAAAGCAGGTGGGAAGTTGTGTGCTGAGAAGGAACGAATATATTCACCATCTTATAAAGGTGTTCAAGTTGTATTTTTTATAAAACTCCACAGTCTTCATGATTGTGCAAACACTGTTGAAATGTAAGAGACCCAGAACAGTTTGGGTTGGAAGGGACCTTTAAAGGTCATCTAGTCCAGCCCCCTCTGCAGTGAGCAGGGACATCTTCATACAATCATACCTATGTAGCTGTCAGAAGTAGGTGAGCTCAGCCAAGCAGCAGATGCTTTACACTGTTTGAACAGATACTATATAACCTCCCCTAACATCTGACTTAGGAAGGCTTGTTTATTCCCTGTTTTTAATACCATGTAATCCAAAAGACATGCAGCAGGTCCCCTTTTCCTGAACTAGTCTAGTGAAGAGAACAGTGAAGGTTTTTCTGTCTCACCGTGCTGCCCTCCACATCGCTCGTTTCTCTGCCTCCAGAGCACGACGTTCTGCTGGAGAAAGCTCCTTCTCTTGACCACTCAGAAGCTCAGGACTCTGCATTCGCAACCGCTCCTGGTGCCGCCGTTCAGCTTTGGCTGTCCGCACAGGCGCCACTGGATCCCCTGCTCCAAGATATGATGGACTCAACCTGGGCAGAGAGAAACAGTAAGAGGTTGGCTGGCCTGGTCCACCACAACTCATACCTGCCTGTTTTCAAGATAAAAGGTGATGATCCACACCCCCAATCAACTGTTTAGTACCACATCCAAGGACATCGCCTTGGGAGATGGAAGGACACAGAACAGAGGTGAGTTTCTCTTGAGAGGCTGGTTCTGATCACAGTTTCCCGTTCTCCACAAAATCCTTCCTTTTACACCCTATGTCTGCTAAAAAGGAGGTACCATCTACTCCATTCATCTGGCAGCTCCATGCAAAGGACATTGCTGATCCACTCACCCAGACACAGAGTTGGTCCTCTGTTCAGGCTTAATTCCCTCTTCCAGTGAATTCCTCTGTGAGCTGCTGTTCTCGTTGACCTCAGAGGGCCTAGAGCAAAACAAGCACATCAGCTAACAGTACCACAGGCTGGCATACCCGACAAAGGTTCAGAAGAGATCCAAGCCCCAGCAAGCAACAACTAAATCAGTTTGAAGACACAACCCTTAATGATTTTGTTCCACAGCTCCTCCTCCATTGCTGCAAGCATTTCCTTGTTGATTTCCTAAATGTTCACGCTCTCTAACATCAGAACTCACTTTCTGCATCCACTAACACACACACAATGTAATGCAGTTCAAATGTAACGCATCGTGTTTGCTGACCAGCTCCTGCACAGTTCTAGCCTGGCTCTTTCCAGCTGCCGTTATGTGATGGGCAGCCTGGCTGCTTCCAGCTCTTTCTTTTGCTGATGTCAGATACGCATGAATTTTAACAAAGGATGACCCTCCTGGGCTGTAAGTGAATGCACATCTGGGCTACGGACGAATTCTGAGTGATCCCAGAACAGCGATTCTCAATGTAGCCACTCTATGTGCAACTGCTTGACACGCTGAGGCTTTATGCTTACAACCAAATCACGGCAAACTTCGGATCAGCTGAGCCGCGGTTACCATCTGCACTCTTAAGTTACAGAATCACAGAATCACAGAATAGTAGGGGTTGGAAGGGACCTCTGTGGGTCATCTAGTCCAACCCTCCTGCCGAAGCAGGGTCACCCACAGCAGGCTG